GTAGGTTCACCTTCTTGCACTTTTTGTCTTAAAGCATGAAATAATACTAGATGTGGAAACCATTACGTTGAGCCATTCAGAGCAAAATAAACAGACTGACTTGAACTACCGGCAAGACGAAAAGCGGTGCACAAAATATTTAAAAAAATACGTGAGTAACTCCATGCATCCATATACTGCCAAAATGTCCGTCTGGCTTCGATTCTTTGTTTAGAACGAGATCAAGTGATTAATTTGTTATTCTAAATGTGACTTGAATATTCGTTGAAAACATGCAGCGGATCGAAATGAATGTTCACATGCCTTCACTCAATGTCCACGCATGGGTAGGTGTCCTCAATGTCTTTTGCATAGCCGGTGAAGGGATAGCAAGGGGCCTACTACCCCTTCCCTTCCTACAATTTTTTTTTTTTTTAATTTAAATTTAAATACAGTTTTTGTCTCAGCAGGCCATCCTTTATGCATGCATTTCTGTCTGTCGGCACAATAAGGGTTTTAACTGAGGGACGGGGTGGGAATACCCCCATCGATATTATTTGGGGGATAGGTTTGTGTCAGTAAATTGAAGGGGGGGGGGAAGAAAAAGATGATCTCTGTTCTATTTTCTTTCTTTATTTCATTTTTAATGTCCGTTTGTTGTTGTTTGTTGCAAATTTTCTGTTGGGAACTTTTGTAATCGGAACATTAGTTGTCATCTAGTAGAGGTGCCGTGGTCGAGTGGTTAAGTCGTCGGACTGTCGATCACAAGGTCTGCGGTTCGAGACTCGCCGCGGCACTAATGTCCTTTGGCAAGACATTGATCTACATTTGCCATACTCAACCCAGGTGATGTAAATGGGTACCTGGCAGGAATTAATTCTTTGAAATGCTAGAGCGCCGTAATGGCAGCACAGCTAAAGCTGGGGTAATAATCTTCAAGTTTGGAAGCGCTTAGTGATTGTAATAAGCGCTCAGTATAAAAAAAAAACTGAGTATGAGTATTGTTATTATCTTTGAAAATCTACGAACTTTGTCGACATCGCCACTCTCATTCAAAAATTCTAAGTAGTCCAGCGAGACAACTAGGAACATTCGCGTATGTCCACTGCTCAAAAGCCCCACCCCCCCCCCCCTACTGAAAATGATGTGTACGCCATCGTTAAATGTCAACACATAACCCTCATGTCATTTTCCTCAAAGACGTATATTTGTGTATTCAGTACATCGCTTTTTAAATGGTTTTCACAATGAGATGTGGGTCTCATAATGCACTCCGAGTGCTCAGCTATGTGCTGTATTTGGAAATGGATGCTACTCAAGAGAAATCAGCGAATGTATATAGTTACAATTTATGTTGGATTCATTGAGCTATTTTTGTGTCCCCTGATTTGGTAATCAGCTGATGTATTAAATGAACAAAATATTTTGTTCAGAAAGCTTGCTAAATATTTGAGAAACATGAATAATCGAAAAGAAGGCGCAACTATAATTATGGATAGTACGAAAACTTATGTCGAGGTATAGTTACACATGTCCTCTCTCTCTCTCTTCACCTCTCTCTTACCCTCTCCTCCCCTCTCTAGCTCTGTCTTTCTGTCTGTCTCTCTCCCTCCCTCATTTCACTCATCCCCCTTTGCTTTGTCTGTTTTTTCTGCCATCCCATTGAAAAGAGGCTTGTGCCCCTGTATACCCATATACACCACTGTATAGATTTCTTCAGTACACCATTGAAAAAGGACATAAAACACTATCTCATGACATATCTTAACAAATCACAGTCATAGGCACTAAAACTCCAACCCTCCGAAAAAAAAGACTGCAAATACAAACACACCCACACAAATAAACCATTACACCTAGATTCACACAAAAATAAACAGATTTGTTTTTATATCTCAAATTTTTATTACACTCCTTTTATTTTTCATGTTATTCATTGTATACAATAAAATAATGCAATAATTTTTTTCCTACACAAATATATAAATATACTGTAATTAATGTAAATTCTAGCTAACCCCAAAACATACCATTTGAGCTATAGTGATGGCAAAGATAATTTAGTATAATTATTATTATTCCACTTCTAATGTCCTAATGTACTCCAATTAACCACATTAGGAGGCACACGGTTAGCTGAACACACAAAATCAAACTAGTAACTTTTGATTAATATTCTCTTCTTGTTTGAACTTCAATTTTCTTTATAAAACGTTTTCTTCTCACTTTCTGCTTTATCATAAGAATCTACATTTACGATGGCACACAAAGTATTGGACGGATCACGGAGAAGAGAAATCACGATTTTCATTTTGTTAAGGCAATATCACAGCGAAATATAAGCTTAATAGGGAAACAATCAAGTAAAAAGTCATGGGAAAAAAAAGGATTTGTAGTTTGGAGCCAATACACAATTTTTATACAAGTGGGCAAATACTTGCCTCAATTTGACTATTATTTTTTACCTCTAGGCTATATATAGTAGACTTCTGATTTAGACTATGACTTTTAAGTTTTAACAAACCATCTTTGTGGATTCGATGGGGATAACCCAAGTGATTATGATATGATGCTCTTATACAAACTCAGATTCGCGGATAAATATTCACAAACAATCTTGTCCGACTACATTTCATTTACGCACTACAATTAAGCATATTTATAGATAATTGCAATTGCACTCATCCAGCTTCTGGCTATACTAGCCAAGCAGTACATCTCAAAATTGTTCTAGGAAATTTAAGATAGGGAAGCAAAATCTCCCTGCAACAATTATATTTCATCATCCAACCATGTTTAATTCATCAATTTACAATAGAGCACTAGCTCCTCCCCTGCCCGAATCATCAACCCCCCCCCCCCCCCCTCCCCAAATAAAAAACACAATTTCCTTTGCCAAAATACAGCTGAAAGTTGTATACTATGAAAACAACCTTGACTTAGCCTTGCACAGAGACTTACACAGGTCCAAATTGGGCATAATACAGTGTATCAAGAGTTTATATCAATACAAATACCATACACATGCAGGCATACCGAATTGTGAAACAAAGGAATAAACTTGGAATGGCAAAAAGGATGGACGGCAGATAATAGGACGGCTATGAATAAGATAACAATAATAAAGTAATGCCAGAAATATTCATCATCAAATAATTGAAAACTTGATTTAAAAAAAGAAAGAAATATTTTCAAGTTAGTCATAATGGAAAATGGATGGAGTGTAGTTGACACGATGGAATGTTAATTTTTCAATAGACTGTATATCGCACCAAAATAGGAAGGCTGAAAAAAATAATAAAAATTATAAAGAAATGCCAGAAATTTTAATTATCAAATATTTGAAACAAAAATAGAAAAAATAAAGATAGATTTTCAAGTCAGTTATTATGCAAAAAATGAATGGATTGTAGTTGACATTATGGAATGTTTCATTTTTTCGATAGACCATACATCGACTGTTAAGAAGCAAAAGGGCGCCCACTCATTTACTGAAAAGTTAATGGCGTTCTGGCTCTAAACAGACAAATTCCAATGCATTCAACTGAATTAATTATTTTTTCCACTGACAGTGTTAAAGCCCATCTGTACTAGTTTGGCCAGGAGGGACTAGACCACTCAGCATGGTCACTGAAAGGTGGCTATCTCATCAAATCAGCTCTCAATTGACATAAGAAAAAGAGTATCATGGGGGACCAGCAGTCACCGATTAGAAATTGTTTTCTATATAGAGGGAGCAAGTAGCTACAAGTAGTACAGTGGGGCTTTAAGACATTTCAAATAAGAAGGCCATTATCTTTGCATACAATTTCATTGATGAAATGAAATACATGTTCAAGCAAAATAAATTTTCTTTCTGCTTATAAAAATACTTGACTAGCTTTGAGGCACATATCTAATTCTTCTTTTTCACCTGCTGATAGTCAGAGGGATGTTAACTCCATAGAAGTGTATATGAGCTAACAGCTTTCTGGCTGTCAGCAGATAATCAGTACTATTCATGAGAAAATAATTTTCCTTTACCGAACAACTTGACAGAATGGTCTAAAGGCACAAATCTGAAGAGCGAAAGGTTTTTTTCTTTTGAAGATAACGAGAGCCAGATGGACGTTTAGCTTTTAACAGCTTTCTGGCTCTCAGCAGACAATCAGTATTATATCCTGCATAAAAAATGTATTGGTTTTTTGATTGGTTGAGAACTCTTCACGTGACCAGAAAAATATTTTAAAGGTTTCTCTGAAAAGGTACTATTTGGGAGTTGAAAAAGAAAAGAATTTTTTTTTAAATTTTTTTTTTTACCATTTTATTAAAAATAAATATTTTTTCATATTTTTAATTTTAATTTTAATGTTTATTTTGTATTCTTTAGAAAATAATATTTTTGATGCAGGACATATTTAAACCATGCCTTCTTTTTGAGGTACTGGTTAAAACTTTGGGCCTCGGTGACTCTAATAGTACTATTGGAGTCACCTCTTGCTCATAGTTTTAACCAGTACCTCCCAACACAGTGTACATTCAGATTATATTCATAAGAAACTTACTTTTATATTCCCTACAATACGACGGAATGGTCTGAAGGCACAAATACTAAGTGTGGAAGGGTTTTGTATAGAAGACTATAATGAATTTCGATACCCTGTAGTTATTATAGATAAAACCATCTCAACAAAACAGGCCTGGCACAAAAACCGCAAATCCAGAAAATGATGCGATATTTTAATAATGGCCAATTATATAGTGCTCATATCCATCACACAGTGACGCTTACATGTAGGTATTATTACCCTAGTTATGGCAGAGTCGCCAAACTAGCTAGCGCTCATGCATATCAGGTACCCATTTACACCTGGGTGGAGAGTGGCAAATGTTGATGTCTTGCCAATGAACGCTAGTGTAGGGCTGGGATTTGAACCCTGCACCTTCCGATCTACAGTCCGGTGACTTATCCACTAGACCACAACACCTCGGCAAAAGAAATGTCCCAAATAATTTATTTTAAAAAATTTAAAAAAAAAAAATCATTTTTCTGTCACTTCTAATAAGTAATTTCAAGGCATGAAACATTTTCATGAATCTAAAATCAAACATGAAATTTGCCGGAGTTTGATGCATGTGACAGTTTCTACTTTAAACAGTGAACATAAAATTAGTTTCATCAGTGGCAAATTATAATTCCATACATTCATATTGTAAATATGATAATTTGATACACCATAGATACAAAGCATGCATTCAAGGTATAGATTTTGGAAATACAAAAGTAAGAAAACAGTCACGGAATGCAGAAAAAAAAGTCACCTTATTAACATCAATACACATGCCACATTTTATATCCGCACAACCAAAGAAAAGTCTTAGCATTTCTCTTTTCATTTTGATATCTCGTTCTTAAATTATTACTACCTTAAATAAAGTACTGTATAAAATTAGACATTTTCTTCATATCATTTTCATATTCTTCACTTCACAATCAATGAAAATAAGCACATATTTCTAAACTCTCATCTAAATCAAATAAAAATATTGTTCTTAATCTTTATCTGAAGCAAATAAATCTCAGACGTGGTATACCAAACCAAAAATATATATTAACAAAAACGATCTAAACTTAATTTTACTATTTTGAAAGATAATCTAGAGATTTATTAATATATATTAGAGTCTAAAACAAACAGGGTTCCGACAATCAGTTTATGTAGAAAAGCAAAACTATTTCCAAAGCTAAAGATGATCTTTCAAGAAAATATGATGTCTACATACAATACTGCATGAACTAATTTAAATGGTTTTACATGACAAAAATAATATGTTCAGTTCTTTACAAGAGTTACAATTATTTTGGCAATACTGTAGGTTAAGATACTTAGGTTATTACATTAAAGCCTTCAATTTAATAGAAGGCGGTAAAAAGTGATAATTTCTTGTATTTATTTCAAATAATTTTTCATGAATTTCATGAATTTAATGAATTTAATGAATTTAATGTAACATTTTTTATTTCTTATTTGGTTCCTAGCATAATGATAGTCACTCTTATTTTCTAAAAGTGGTTATTTTGGTAGTAAATCTATGCTGTCTCGTCAAACTCATATGATTAACTATATGCTGTCCGTGCTTAGTAAATCAGGCACTAAAGTTTTAATTTTACCCTGAACTTTATCATAACCATAATCTACATAGACTCCGCGTGTAGCAGCTAGAATGTATCCCAATATTTGTTCTCCTAAGACATACAATTGACATCGCAAAACACCTTATTCTTTTTTATTCTAATAACTTATTCTTTTTTTTGCACATGCAGGTATGCACTCTCTACGAAAATCAAACGCTACATGAGACCAAGCGTCAAACATTACATGTACATGCATAGAGCTGTTCAGATAAAAGCTGACCAAAAAAAAAGAAGAAAAAGAGAAAATGGTTATTCCGTTCTATGCACACACAAACAAACTTGCATTATTGAATACATGATCGATATAAAATTCTTAATATTTATACTTTACGTGTGAACCCCGACCCCTTAGGCTTGTCCTCAGCTCACCCCGGAGGCTTTCTTTTTAGTACCCCGCCCCGGCGTGCCCCCGCCGCCTTTCGGTGAGTTGGGCTTCGCCCTCGAGCCTCCGACAGTCCTGTGGGGTGACTTGCTGGGTGCGGTGGCCCGACTTCGGGGCGTCGTCGACAATCTGGAGTTCGACGTCGACGTGGATGTGGAAGGGCCAGAGTGCCCGCTGCTTCGGGAAGTTCTTGATGGTGCGCCCTCTGTAGGCTGTGTTTGACAAGGTTCAAATGTGAGAAGGGTCAAATAAGAGCAACATTACTTTAGTATATCACGTAATAGATATTTTGTTTAACGCTTTACAAACAATGACCTGGAAATTGGGAGCATACCAGCATTATAAAGGTAGGTAATTGCTAATCAAAGGCGATATTTGTTTTGCATCCTACAAAGTACCTTTTAATACATAAACTTGGGTAGAAAGAGGCAAAACAGACGAAAGATATCTTGCTCAAAGACATACAAAACATAGTCCATGCAAAGTTCCTGGGATCAAAACAATATATCTTGCTCTTTACATGAATGTAAGGATAGATACAAATTTCTCTTCAAAAATCCTATTTTTTTCCAAGAAATCACATCAAGTTTTATTTTGGGTACACCCTGGGGAGTGTTTCATAAAGATTAAGACGGACTTTAAGTTGGACTTAACTATTGCAGGCCATTCGTGCCACTGGTTGCTCTCACCATTGGTCTCTCAGTTATAATCTTCAGATAATATTTTTTCCTTCAATAATGAACTATCAAAAAGGCTCAATTCTGTAGATATGTCATGTGTGACCATGATTTTGTACGTCCCTTGAGAGACTATTGCCAGTAAATGGTGAGAGCAAACAGTGGCATGAACTTCCTGCCATAATTAAATCTTACTTAATGTTGATCTTAGTCTTTGTGCAAGACCCACCAGGAGACCTTCCGTCAGAAAAATACTCAGATGAAACTTACACTTAATTTTGATCTTGATACACCTGGAGTTTTCTTGGCTGGTGCTGAAGACTGTTTTGACGACTGAATGAAGACAAAAATGGGTAAAAGAAAGGGAATTAGTTTGTACAAGTAGACATACACCAATTGTCATGAATACCATTTTCATCATCACTTGATCATCTCCATACTCGGTGGTGTTACTTACAAAGCATGAAAATATTTGTTTAAGTAACAACCTTGTTATAGTGATGCTTTTCATTTTATTCCACTCCTCCTCCCGTGCCAAAACCAACCTTATTATCTCCGAAGGACCTGGTAATGAGGATTAATGCCTTACGGAAGGGCACTAGAACATCGACTTGGTTCAAACCCAGGTCGCCGGATAACAAGACCACTGCTAACGCCGTCGGTCCTCTGGTTGCTTACCAACAAGCATTTATACTTTCTTAGCAGTCAGGTAAAATAACCACCACTATCTATTTTTCTACTTGTACATGCACACTTACCTTTACACTTACTAATCTTGCCTTTCTCTTTAATACACGTCTCTCCCTCCTTCACGTTATTATTCACTGAATCATCGTTCCCTCCATCATCCACATTGTTCGTTCCTCCTCCATCCACCTCCTCCTCCTCCTCCAGCAGGAGATCGTCCTCTCTCTCTCTCTCTCTCTCTTGCTCTCTCTCTTTCTCTCTCTCTCTCTCTCCTTCTCTCTCGCTCTTTCTCTCTCTTTCTTATCTTCTTCTACTCCTCCTCCTCCTACTCATTCTTTTCATCATTTCTCCTCTCTCCTCTGTCTCCAAAAAGCCTTCTTGTGCATGCAGACTTACCTTTGTTCCTGTTGACGTTGTAGACCCTGCTTGCCGACTGATCTTGCCCTTCTCTTTACACGTCTCTCCCTCCTTCACATTGTTATTCATTGAATCATCGTTCCCTCCGTCATCCTCATTGTTTGTTCCTCCACCCCCATCCACCTCCTCCTCCCCCTTATCCTCCTCCAGCAGAAGATCTCTCTCTCTCTCTCTCTCTCTCCTTCTCTCTCCTTCTCTCTCTCTCTTTATTTTCTTCTTCTACTCTTCCTCCTCCTACTCATTCTTTTCATCATTTCTCCCTTCTCCTTTGTCTCCAATTATCTTCCTTGCACACACACACTTAATACCTTTGTTCCTGTTGACGTTGTTGACCCTGCTTGCCGACTGACCTTGCCCTTCTCTTTAATACACGTCTCTCCCTCCTTCATGTTGTTATTCATTGAATAATCCTTCCCTCTATCCCTTTACTTTTGGCCTATCATTCTCTCTCTCTCTCTCTCTCTCCCTTCCTTTCTTCTTCTCCTCCTTTTACTCATTTTTTTTCATCATTTCTCCCCTCCTCCTTTTTTTGTTCCAACCACGCCCCCCTTGAGAAAAACAAAGAGGATTCGGGGGTAAAATGGCATCTAACGACATCCCCCCCCCTTTTAATAATAATAATAATAATAGCTAGTTCTTATATAGCGCTTTTCAGGACCGGAAAAAATTGGGAAACTGATTTAAATCGGGTAATTATCAGGCCTGACACTTACTTTTGTTCCTGTTGACGTTGTAGACCCTGCTTGCCGACTAATCTTAGTGCCCTTCTCTTTAATACACGTCTCTCCCTCCTTCACGTTATTATTCACTGAATCATCGTTCCCTCCATCATCCACATTGTTCGTTCCTCCACCATCCACCTCCTCCTCCCCTTCTTCATTGTCCTCCTCCAGCTTCCATTGCTTCATCATCTCCAGGACGTTGGTGGGGCCGTTGTTCATGGGGCGGGACCGGTCCCCCGTGATCCAGGGGTGGTCCAGGAGCTCGCTGGCCGTCAGACGGTGGGCGGGGTCAACCTTCAGTAGACCCTGGATGGCATTTTTAGCTGGAGTGGATAAGGCACAAAGAGAAGAAACAATCTCAGATTTGTTGATAATCAGCACATTGTACGCATATATCAGAAACATATATGCCACCAAACTCAACTGGAGTGTCATCCCCTATAAGTATTCACCGAGCTCTGTGTCATAAGGCTCAGAAATGTAAGGCGTAGTATGCTTGCATCATTATTTTAAAGAGGCTATGTTTTATCTGAGCGAGGCTTTAGTGGAATTATCCCTATTTGGGGCTATGTGAAATTTTGCCCTTTGGATGTGTCAAGGCTTGTGCAAGTTGGGAGAATAGTAATTGTGACAATCGTCCAATGAAGTCGCCCTAAAGGGATTAAGTAAGAAAATAACCTCATCATCTTACCTTCATCACTAATCCTTTGCCAAGCATCAGTGGAGAAGTCTAGGTCTCCTTTCCGTATTGAGTCATACAGACCATCCTCATCCTGACCTGTAAATGGAGGTTCACCACATATCCTGCAAACAAAAAATAATGAAAATGAAAATGAAGCAATCAAAAATTTTAAAAAATTGATTTACTTCATTTCTTTTGGTAAGATAGAGGGAAGATGATGATAATAAAAAAGACTAATAATTTTTTTTTAGAAAGACAAAGAGGTTTGAGGTTTGTTCTTTAATATTGTGGGGCATAATGTTAAATACATGTATCTCTATGCACTGTACAAACATTTCAGAATGTTTTTGATAAAACATGATATAACATCATAAGACAGAATCCAGCGAATGTGAGTTTCAACGTGCAATAGTATACAAATAGTACACAGCAGTGAGGGCATTATTACCCACAGAGGTACCTTTGGAACAGTCTAACACGCCCTAAGCGATAGCCGAGGGTGTTTGGACTGTTTCAAAGGTACCGAGTGTGTGTAATTTTACTAATGCCAGAACAAAATGATGTGTTATATAAAGATGTCTTATTCGTTTTATAAAATGATATTTTATTACATGATGTGTCAATGACCGGTCATTATCAAAATTACGCGTTAGGCAAAATAAATGCCTGGTCACGTGTACGCTCTCAACCAATCATTTGATTAGTATCCATGTCATCATTTTATAATAGGCAACATGCAATAGTAAGAAACGTGCACTGGACAAGTGTTAATCTTTGTTATTACTGATGATACAAAATTGCATCTACATATTTTGATACTTACAATAAAAAAGCAATAACACCTATACTCCATATGTCACACTGTTGACTATAGCCTTGGTTGTCTATTACTTCAGGAGCTGCCAATTTGAGAAACAAAGAGCAGGAGATTGTTATTAATGACCAGACTCTTATACAAGAGAAGATAGGTAACGATAAACGAGGAAAAAAATAATGCATCATTTTTATTTTTACTCAAATAAAAGAATATCATAATAGCAAAGAGAATTAAAAAGATAAACATTATCATAAATGAATTATGACAAAAGAGTTCACAAAGTACATTCTGACAATTAGCGCTTAATTTTATGTGCCTCTTTACTTTGTTACATATATCATATTTAAGTTGTTTTTCCTCTCTATTTATATTCAATTTGGTATCTTTATGATTTGTTTTATGTTTGTAAAACAGACTGGCTGAAAGCAGTCTTCTCAGGCTGATGTGAGTTTAACCCTGATAAAATAAATTTAATCAATCAATCGATCGATTGATCGATAATCAACTTACCCATATACATTGGAGTTCCACACATGTTTTGGATGTCACTGCCTACACCACCTTTGACGACAGACAGCCCAAAATCTGTCAACTGTAACAGAAGGGACAAATGAAAGTGCACGAGTATGTTAAAGGTAATACAAGGTTTTGGTAAGGGGTCATGAATTTGGATCAAATGAACATATTGGAAGCATATATGCGATTTTACAATATTCAATGATCGTTCTCGCGGTCGAAATCGAGTCTAAAGTGATGGAATTGTAAATAATAAACTCTTTATGTTGTATAGCTCCTTCTCAAGACTGACATTACTTTAGCTTTAAAACAATGTTTCTTGACTACAATCGACCGATTTGCTAAATTATATATCAGAACTGCATATTCTGAGATTTTCATGGTCGCAGCTACAATGGAATGGCCTTTAGGGGTATTTGATATATTTTCTTTAAAATGATGCCCATTTGCAATGAGTACCAGTATGTAATCGTGGAATGTGCAGTACACCTGAAATGTTACAAAATGCATGAACGGTGACCGCCTCAATTTCATTAAACGCATTGCATCCTCAAAAATCATTAAGAATTCCCTGTTGAAAAGAACAATGCATTTTGCAACATTTCAATATTGACTTCGCCCCATATCCGCGACCTTCACATTTCAAGTTGATTGCTTAAACCACTCAACTGAGATACCTCTATTATAAATGCTTCATGAATTATGGGCAGCATTCAACCTGTGTGTATTTAGAGTCATCAACTAGTCTCATGCTGCAGACTTTCGAAACCTCTATCATAAATGCTTCATGAATTAGAGGCAGCATTCAACATGTATGTATAGACTATAGTTCACGGTTAGCACATGTCCCAAATGACCCTGAATATCCACAGATCTTCAAAACATGAAGATTTCCCACTTTGTACATTTTGAAATAATCACTCCTACAGCGATGGAGGTGCTATATAAATAGCCTTTGTTTCCTCTTTCAAAGAATACTTCCACCTGTGTATCATGGAGTGCACTGCTTGTGCATAAATGAATAATGTTTACATAACTTTCATGAGCGCGTATCCAGTATTTTGTCTCTGTGTATTTCACAATTTGGTCTGCAATGACCTTTATCTGCTCATGCTCGGACAGCAACTATGAACTGGCTTATTTAGAGTCATCGACTAGTCTCGTGCTGCAGACTTACCTTAATATTCAATCTATCACTTGGTTCATCTGGGTTCTTACTAACAAGGATGTTCTCTAGCTTGATATCTCTGTGCACAATGTCTGTGGAAGGAAATCAGGCAAAATGGTAACATTATATTAATATTAAGATGCAAAAGGGTCTAGTATATTAGCTGTAGCAGAACACGGATTCGTCAGTAGTAGGATTTCTGGGTATACTTCTTTTTTTTTTGCTATTCATAAATGTGAAGGAGTACTTTTCATACATGAAATATATATTGGGGGTCACTGCTCCTAAGGACTGCTATTCATAATACGAAATGAGGGTCGCTATTCATCTTCAATCTTCTTGTATTATGAATAGACCCTCTTCTCATATTATGAATAAGCAATCCTCTTCTTCGATTATAATTAGCGGTCCTCATGAATAATGACCCACATGAATAATGACCCTTTTCTCATATTATGAAAACAGGTAAAGGGTATTTGAATAGCGGTCCTTATATAACGAGGGGACCCCTATTTTACACGACTGGGCTGTGTATGCTGGTGTTGATTACGTGTGTGTTTGTGTGGTCTATCTTTCGACAGTAATCACTGTGATTTATCATGATTTTCAAGCGATTTCAACTCTCTCACAGTCCAAGAAGAGGATCAAAATTATGTCCAGGAAGCTACATCAAGGCATTTTTTGCATATTGGGGATAGCAGGAATTCTAGAGATACCTGCGATTTTCAATGTCCTTACCATTTTTGTGTAAGTAGGCTACTGCACTGGTTAATCTCTGTATAATTGTTCTTGTGTCTGCTTCCGAGAAGACTCCCTCGTGGTTGAAAAGCTTGTTCAGTTCTCCTTCGTCGCATATCTCCATCACCAGGTACATTCTCTGTGGGGGTGGGAGAAAACAAGCGAGATATTCTTAAATATTAGTTATTAAATGAATGGTCTAAACATTTGGACGTGAAAAGCTTGTTCAGTTCTCCTTCGTCGCATATCTCCATCACTAGGTACATTCTCTGTGAGGTGGGAGAAAACAAGTGAGTTGTTCTTGAATATTGGTGAAAGTAAATGAGTGGTCCGATCAGCTAAAAGTCTGTGTGAGTGAGTACTTGTCTGAATAGTCTAGTGTCACTAAAATTAGCATTTGATCAATGTTTACCCCCTAACAATATCATGCAATTGTGATATTTTTTTCTTTTTCGCTAAAGAGTAATCTGCTATGTCTCAGAGAGTCTGAAGACTGAATAACAAAAACAAAAGCCAATAACAAGAGATTTTTAAAAAATATACCATTAAGAAGAAAAAACAAAAACTAATGACCGTTAAGGCTCTCACTCAACAATTTATTAATCTCTTCCAAAATTAGTTTTAGTCCCAAAGTGAATGACAGCCTTTGTAGAAAGGACAATAATACCCAAAAGATTGCACTGATAAAATTCCAATCATTTACAGCCGTGCATCGAGATTGTGGAATGGTCTTCCCCAAATCTTTCGCTCTTGTCACCAGTTATCCACTTTCAGAACTCAACTATTAAAAGACATACCTATTTCAGATTGCTTACAATTAGTCACTGCTTTTTTGTCTTTCCCAGCTAGAATCATAAACAGACATTTTGGGTAGTTTTTCAGTCTCATCAGCGCCTAGATGTTGGCGCTTTATAAATTTCTGGGTTGGATTTGATAGCCATAGATTAGATCAACATTTGAGTTTAAAATGGATTCGGCAATAGGAAAAACTATAACATTAGACAATGTATAGAGCTGCAAACAATGGCATACATGTACACATGAAAATAAATCTAAATTAGCCTAGAACGACATACCTTTGGAGTTTCAAAGACTTCTTTGAGATAAATAATGTGTCTTTGTTTGACTTTCTTCAAGATGGCTACTTCTCTCTCCAGCAGCTTGACCGCTAAGCTCCCAGCCTGTCAAAACAAGAATGCAAGAGTGATGGCACTTGAAGAGAATAATCACACACAATAAAACAGGAATGTTTTTTATATACAGTTAACAACTAAATTATTCCTACCCCCTGTAAATTTTATGTTTCTGTGTTTATCGTAGGTTGACTGGCTAAATTAGCGCCAATGTTGAATACTTTAAAGGGAGTGTACACTGACGAGACAATGCCTCTTTCCCGTGGCCTGACTCAAGGCAAATTGGGTATAATACGACTATGGACGACGTGACCGCAGCAATCACGTGCGTGCAACATACGCCAAACCGAAGCGTGAGGAGAACCTTGGTCTGTTGTGCGAATGCTGACCACGTAGAGATTAAGGCGATGACGTTCAAATCTAATTGTTTGAACCAACTTTCGACCCTGTATGCATGAGGATTGATTTGACAGACCTGTTGAATGGCCCTCTACAATTATTTAGACTTGCTGCAGATGTACATCATCATAGGTAATTCAGATAATTAAGAAACAAGAATACTAGACTGCAACTAATCATGGGCATGTCCAACAGCTAGTGAACCCTCTCTCACCTTCTCTTTGTTGATAATCTTGATGGCCCACTTTTTGTTCGTCTTGAGACAGGTCCCTTCGAAGACGACCCCGAAGCTGCCGGCTCCCAGCTTGGCGCCGCTCTGGTAGTGCTTCTCGACCGCGGCATCGTCTTCGAGGCGGGTGTGCGGCACGGAGCGCGTCCTCTCCACCCCGCCACCCAGGGGCTGTACCCGCATTGTCATGTCACATCAGGATCGCAGTGAGTTCAGCGGATAAGCTTGAAGCAGGGCGTGAGGGGACGGCAGAGGAAAAGGGGAGGGGGCCAAGATATCTGCAAGAAAAAATAAAATGAAAAAGTACATATGCATTAGAATTGATGGTACACATGATGTATTTATATACATAGTGACCATGTCTCATCATGCTCACATTGCTTTCACTGGCAGATAATCTTGACTTTTCTCATATTCCGACAAAATTTTAAAACAGAAATCGAAACATCCACCTCTGGAGTGTGGTGCTTGGAAACGCCTGTAGAAACTTCACAGATTATTGCACTGTATATGTCCACACTCGAAACATCTGTTAAAGGTAAAGAAAAGTATTGGAAATGCCCCAATTTCAAAAAATGAAATGGAAGCTCTCATTACCAATCATGTGAAAGAATATGTTTTGACTAATACATGATGATAAAAAATTTGCAGGGAAACCGCCTACTAATACATATATTTGGTAAATTTGTTTCTCTCATGGTCTGTGAGAGATATAGGGTAGTCCCATATACATCTTTCTGTGTATAGTGCTTGTAACTTACGAAGAATGGGCCAAATTTCTTATCATTTTGATGATTCCAGAACCTTGCAGATGCTAGATGCTAGATGATCAACCTTTTCTGATCGATTCCACAACGTTTCTTTCACAATGCCATCGCATGACCATAACTGGTCTTTACCTTTAATGATTCCTGTTTTTGGTCATATGACTCTCTTCGCCTTCGCGCAATCCCATGCAGATCGCGAGCACTATACTCACAAAAAATGTCAGAAGTGAGAAGTTTTTATGGGGTTTTTCAGTAGTGTAATCGCAGTTTGGGCTTTGTAAACAGGCCTTATGTCTTTTGTGAACATGCACAGAGAAGTATTATGTTATATTACTGCTAATGATTTCATGTAATTATCTTGATTTTTATTTAATCTTTTCCAGAAATCTGGCTCATAAAAATTCCAGCGGTCAAGTTGATTGTAACAATCGATACTTTCAGAGAAAGTGTGGGCTGTGTTAATAATGGGCCTTATATGAGCAAGGACCAACCAAGAAGCATAATGACTTCATGTAATTATCCCTAATTATCTACAATGTACATTCCATTAACAATTTAAGGAGTTTATAATGATCGCATGAATTGATTTTTATTTAATCTTTACCAGAAATGTGGCTCATAAAATTCCAGTGGTCAAGTTGATGTAACAATCGATACTTGCGAAAAATGGGCTTTATGTGAACAAGCACCAATTAAGAAGCATAATGTCATATAACTACTAATGATTTCATGTAAATATCTCTAATTTACATTCCATTAACAATTTAAGGAGTTTATAATGATCACGTCAATTGATTTTTTATTACTCTTTCCCAGAAATGTGGCTCATCAAAATACCAGTGGTCAAGTTGAAACTAACAATCAATACTTTCAGAGAAAGTGGTTCCACTCACTTTCACTTTTTACTAATGACTCATGTGGTCAAGGCCTAATAGGCGATTTTGTAATGTAATCAAATGCAATGTAAACATCTTTGTTATGTGCCATGTTACAAAGTATTCATTCACCTGTTATGAATATTAAATTGTATTTCAATGGTCAGAATGCAAATTTCATATTACAGTTGTTGCTAGATACATGTACACATGTAGGTTAAACATTACGGCCTGCCCTACCTAACACCTAACAACATGTAATGTATGCAATGCGCATTCTGACTATTGAAATACAATTATTCATAACAGGTGAATGAAATATTTGTAACGAGGCACCAAACAAAGATGTGTGCATTAAATTTGATTACATTACGAAAATGGCATATTGATGACCATGCAGCTCTCAAAATATTTTCAATTCATTGCTATGTACAGTGTATACGTCTTTTCTTCTTCAACATTATTTTTTTAAATATTTACACTGAATGTCAAACGACTTCACACAAGTTTAAGTCTTACAAACAATACAGAAAAAAGTTTTCATTTCATTTCCATGCACATGTAGGTATGCTTTTTTTCTCCTTTATCATCAAGTTTTATTTACACAAATGTCAAAAGACTTTGTACAGGTTAAAGTCTTTTCCTTCTTTGTATGGAAGCTCATTTTCAAACTACTGTAGATTTTTGTTGTGTGTAATCCCCTTACCCAATTTTTGTATCAATCTGTTTCTTATTTGAAACAAACAACTCTAGTTGCCGCTCTCATCCCTGAGGGTTGTTTCACAAAGATCCCAAGTCGAACTGAACTCTAAGTTGGACCTAAACATTATGGAGAGCCGTTAGCATCATTAAAAATATTTTGTAAAAGTTATTTTAAAAGGCATGAAATGTTGATTCAAATCATTCATATTTTCTATTATCAAGGAGAATTCATGTTCTTGATGTGCAAGTTATGAAAAGACTAAAATACTGATTTTTTTTGCTTTGAATGTATTTTATTTTAAGGCTACAAATGGCTCTCCATGATATTGAAGTCCAACTTTGAGTTAAGTTTGACTTGGGATCTTTGTGAAACACCCCCTGGTGTACCAAATGTCCATTTCTTTTGTACATGAACAATAAATGTGACCCAGCACCACAAAACCAACAAAAGGTCACCAGAAAAAGACTTTTTGTTTCTTTAGGGATTCCGAAAGAGGAGATTCTTGCCTTTAAAATGATATACAGTGTGTATTACTTATCACGATTGGATGTCCCTAACACAATGATAAAAAGAGAGGAATATCTGGTCGCATAGAATGTTACTTAAGAGCAAAAAGGTGTTTAAAGTCTGTAGTCTATTTAAGTACTCTTTAACCCTACGTTAACTGGGGGGGGGGGGTCAATTTGACCCCCCCTGTAGAAATTTTGGGACTACTCCGAAACCACGGCAGATATAAAATTTTCCTTTCATGACTTTTTTCGAAAATCGGACGTATAGTTACAAAGTCACGTAATTTTTTGTCTTCGCATGTCAGCCCGAAAATCGCTCATTTTCGTGATTTGTGTACAAAACATATGGAAATGTCATTTTTCCCAAAAAGAGATAAAACATTGGTTATTTAGTCTTGTTTAAAGTTTAGGTGTTTGTTTTGGGGTCAAAATAGTTGAATTGTAGTTATAAATGAAAAAAAAAAAAAAACCACAAAAACAATAAAAAACATAAGTTAAAAAACAATGAAATAGAGTAAAGTACCCGGTTTTCGGCCACTTAAGACAAAATCCTATTTATTGGACTCTTTACTTCCTATTTATTATCATTTCTTGTTCAAATCATGAAGCAAATATTATTATTATTTAAACAAAAAAAGAATCCCCAAAAAAAATCACGAATTGCCATGACAATATTCATTTCAATTTTCACTGTTTTGGAGCCGGTTATCGGCCGAGCGTTTCAGTTTACGGCCGCATGTACAAAGTCAATAGGAAGCGCTCGCGCGCGCCGTGCGTTTCTGCGCTGATGTATAGCACAAGCGGGCGGAGCAGGTATCCCACGCCGGAGCTCCCGGGTGCTCGCCTGGCCGAATACAGGCACAGCGGTGATCGGAAGTTGGAATCTGAATTAGACAGACATATCGTGTGTGCGTCGCGGTGTGCGGCTGCATTGATTTAATACATGCGATGAGATACTTTTGAGCTTGCGACCAGCACAAAATCGGGCTCTATATCTGAAAAATACTTGAAATAAAGCTATTTTATGGTACCCATATTTCTTACATACACGCGTAAGAAACTCGATTTTTCAGATTTGGGTAGCGGGACCGCCGATTACATCGCTAAAATGTGATATTTTAGGATATATTTTTCATTGCAAATGTGGTTCTTCAGTGACACTGGCATGGTATGGTATGTGTGGGATATGTGTTATGCTATTATGCGATGTATTTTAAAGTGATTTTACCATGTATCCAACCAATTGGCCGAAAACCGGAGCTGACCGATTACCGGGTACTTTACTCTACAGGTACATAAGAAATTATCTAAACAAGAGATAACATAAGGAATAACCTGGCTCTTCCAATTTTTTGTGTTGTATTATTATTCCAAATGGTCTAACAAATATATGTAGTGAAAAAGAATGCTTAAATGAATAATGTATGATTTATGGGCAAAAATGTGAATTTTATGACCTTATTGCATAAATTACCATAAATATGCAAATGAGTGAATTTTTCAAAAAATTGAAATTACCATAGTATTCTATACACTTCACTTGACATGTATGCAAATTTTCGCGGCGATCGGCAGTGAAAGGCCGAGATCTTGGGGGGGGGGGGGGGGGGGGGGGGTGACCCCCCCCCCCCCCCCCCAGTAAAAACCTGGTCTGAAACAGTCCAGTTAAAATAGGGTTAAGTATACCATTTGGCAACTTAATTGGCTTAATCAAGGGATATCATGATAACCCAAAGATACCTTACGCATTCTTTGGGAAAATAGGTATTACATAATAAAATATAAAGCACCACTACGATACTGTGATACACCTTAATCATCTATACAGCGCTATTAAACGTTCAGGTAAATGTCAGAAAATCCATCTTGGATCAAGTAGAAGGTGATTAATTTTCATTGACCTACCCGGTATTTCTTGGTCTCTTTTCTGAACTGGCTCTGTGCAGCTTGTATCCACCGGCACAGGTAAAGTAAGAATGGAATCAGCAATGTTTGTGGCCGTGGAAGAATCAGACAAATTTCATCTCGGCAACAGAATACAGCATTCCAACCTGTTGAATAAGATAAGGTAATATAATAGAAAATAAAGAATGATATCAAAATTCTTTAGACAACCCAATACATGCAGTATACCTGGACGTTGCGGGTTCGGACAGGGTGTGTATCAGGACAGTGGATTTAAAACAGAAATTTAAAGAATTTAAAAAGCAATATTTCATAAATTTTCTAAGACACTTGTTGGACAATATTAGAGAGGATAAATTCATGGGTTCGATCCCCGGCCGCGTCATACCAAAAGACGTTAAGAGATGGGAGTTGCTGCTACCTTGTTTGGTGTTCAACAATAAGGGATAGAGCAACGTCGATCTGACGCTGCTCAGTGGCTGCCAGGCTCACGATCAATTGGGCAAAAAGAATTTTCATTTCGGTTTAATATACTAAAATGGACTAAAATGGACTAAATGGACTAAAAGATTATTATTATTATTATTATCATTATTATTATTATTATTAATAATGATAATAATAATAAATAATAATAGCCTAATAGTCCACTCCAAATTTTATTAAACCGAAACGGAAATTATTTTTGCCCGATTGATCATGAGCCCGGCAGCCACTGAGCAGCGCCAAATGGACGTTACTCTATCCCTTATTGTTGAACACCAAACAAGGTACATGTAGCAGCAACTCCCATCTTTTAACGTCTTTTGGTACGACGCGGCCGGGGTTCGAACCCACGACCTCCCGGTTGTGAGGCGGACGCTCTACTGACTGAGCCAACACTCCGGTATCAATTATGATGATTAGTGCTATTTGATGGATATTCTTCTGTTAAATCTGAAGGCAAAAGAGAAGTCTTTATGTTTGTTCAGTGTCTGGACACCATGCAAACCCCATGATACTTTAATACCGGTAATGCAATTGCAAAGTATGATGATGATGATGATGAGATGGGAAAATCAATATATTAAAAACATAAGTGGTAATAAAGAATAAACCAGTAATTGCACTAATCAAACTGTGTTTAGTCTAGTGCACGTGTCTTCTGGCCCCAAACATACGAAAAAACAGTGGATCACATACTGTAACTTAACCTATTTTGTCAGGATCTAAACTTAGCTTACAACTATAGACCCCTTTCACGATAGGTCGTTATCATTAATTATTTGGCAACCACCTGTACCTGATAAAGAGAAAACATACAGTACAGTATGTACTTGATCACAATGATCCTCAGGTCTACTATCCTCCTTGCATATAGGGTTTTGCAGGTTTGCCTGTTGTACATCTATCCCACGCACAAATCCATCACTATATATCCCAATTTACTGACAGACCTATCTGTCACTCCTTATAAACAACAACAAAGCCCTTCATCCTTTCCTCAAAGTTTTCGAGCGTCACCCTGACGTAATGATCAACGACCCTGTAGATACCTTTTCCCTAGAGTCTCCAGTCATGCAAAGGCAAACTACATGCAAGTATTGATCTTCTATTAATCGACAACAATGGGGGCTTTTGGCGACAAAAATCAATATTGCAGTACGACACATAGGTCAGACAAAGCTATTAGTCATGTGTATGGTAAAGACTATGAAGTTTGTGTTTAGCACATTACTTGTAGAAATATCCAGTAAATACAATTATTTATCAATAAACTATTAACTGTTATGTAGTTCTAGCTTGAATAAGAAAATTACGAAAGAAATTTATAAGGAATTAATATATATGGACAATTGGACATCATGATATGCTACAATGTATGCACAAATGTAATTTGAGTGGTTCAGTAATTTCAACTGTTTTCAATTGTTTTAGGTTTAAAAATTCATGAGCATTTGTGATCATTTCACATACGACACAAGTACAATTTATATAAGGAGTGACTCATTTACAATAAGAGGGACAACAGTTCATGTGTACATGAAGCTGTGGATAGATTGAAAAGAGATAAGAATAAAAAGAGATATTGCCCGAAAGAAATCTCACTTTGTGAGCTCTAGCTTCAGTGATAAAATACTATATCCCAATCTTCCATACCAAATGAATAAATTATGAACATTCATGAGTATTGCAAACGCTACTCTAAAGGACACCTGCATATCGTTTCCTCTCCACTTTTTCCCCCGTTCCTCCCCATCTCTACCGGTACCTCATCAAAAAGTAACACCAATACAGTATACTTTCATATATGATGCGTGGTGATTCTATTTGCACTACCCCCTCGCTGGGTGATGTTTCTGTCACTATAATCAATTGGGTGTGATCTAATGATCATCGAAGCGATTTTTTCTTTCTTTCTTTCTAAGAATATATAAAGCGGGTCTTAGTGCATTACACACCTGTAATGCACAATAGCAATCAATATGGATAATCCAGTGTATTGTTTTCAATGGCCAAGGACGAACTTGTATTTCCGTCAAGGCTGTAGGGGTGACGTGATGGGCCGATGAGTTTGAAAAGGCTATATCTAGTGCATTTTACGATGCTAACATTACACTGTCTGACCCTCAAGGGCAGAGTTTAATACATGTAGGCAGTTTGCCTAGTAAAGATTGTAATTCATACCTCAAGGCTGAAAGACAGCATTCAAAGAAAAATGAACAATCGCACTATTTGTATGAATTATGTATTATGAATTTGTATCAATTTGTAGGCATGATACAGGAATGTATATTTTGCTAGTTGCAACCCATGGATGGTTCAAGATCTAAATAAGGATTATTAAACCAATGCCCCCCTCCCCCAACCCCAAACAAAATGGGGCTTACTGTGTACTGTACATGGATGCACATTTTAGGGAGATTTTGCTTCTCAAACTCAACAAGAAAGGGCCCCAATTACAGGAACACATTGATTTACCTTCTTACAATTTAGGTTGTGGCAAATTTTGAAAGAAAAAAAGAAATAGAAGAAAAAAAAAATCTCTTTATAGAGGGACAACAAAATTTAAGTTTGTGCTGAATTGGTGAGAAAGGAACAGTGAGAAATCTCAGAAAATATGCATTCAAATCAAGATTTTTAAGATACCTCCTATTATTGTATAATGCTGTGGTCCCTTTAATACAAAACAATTGGTATATGTACATACACATTTAATGTTTGTTGAAAACTTGAAAAGGGAAAAGGACTACCCCCTCCCCCCCCCCCCCCAGGACAATGTAGGCCTGTAAACACTGTATATATTTCTGTACTGAATTCTTCAGTGCAGCCCAGTAATGGACATCTTTTTACTGTGAAACAACACTTTATTTCTACAACCGATTCCCCCTGCAAGGAATACATTGTACATTTGTACTTAAAAATGCAACAATCAAACTTCATTATCAGCTTAAATGAAATTAAGCTCGTTGCAACTCTCTATAAATACTTTACTCTCAAGCAGAAACCTATAAAATGGAGTCAACAACAAGACAAAACTACAGGTATTACTTCTTGGACTAATTTAGAGGAGATTGTGGTACAGCTTTTATGGCCTGTGGACCTGCAGACTTAAATCTAGTGTAATTTGGATGACAAGTCACAAAGCTCTTTGCAATTAGATTTTCTGAGGTTTCCTTTTGAATATTCAGTGACAAAGAGAGACAAGGACTGAGGTTGTTTGGCCAACAAAATTGTAAAGAAGAGACATTGCAAATGTCTTCTTTTTTTAAAGCCACTTTAAACTACATGTAAGTTCTTCTGTTCAAGGAATACTTGTACAGTGTATCCCCAAATTTGGGTTTTCAAAGTACATTTAGCCTACATGTATGAAGAACACTGCAATTGTAATCACTCAATGCAAGGATATACTTTAATTATTCTGATTCTGTCCCCAACTTTTTTTTTAATAGACGGGAGTGGTCTTACATCATTTTGGGAAGTCTTAGTACTCTACATGTAGCTTATAAAGTATAAGTAATCATATTTCACAAAGTTATAATATTCTTTTCATCTGGGTTTGAAACGATGTTATTTTCAAGAATGATTTAAAACAAATTGAATTGAAAACCCTACTTCAAAACAATACTTTGAAACATTTAATTCAAAACAATTTTTTGAAACGTTTCCTTCTTCATTTAAATTCTTTCTTTCTTCTTCTTCTTTAAAAAAAAATGCAATTCCGCATACCGATACATTTTGCTAAATTCTAAAAGTACACTATTTTAATGAAATTTAACGTTTGGCAACTGTATCTAATTTCTATAATCACTTTAGGGAAGAAAGAGTTCCTACAATAGTAAATGCTTCTGTTTTCTTTGTTTACTTGCTGTCAATTACTTTTGGGCAACACTATAAATGTGGGGTCTACAAGTTCCTTAACTTGATATCAGTTTGCCTTCAAACAATAACTCAAAATATCTTTTTTGTCCAAATTTCAAAATGGAGTGACTTTATGACTGAAATACTCTTTATTTGTGTTTCATGAAATCTTCCCAAAATACTCTCTTTGGCATCTACATGTACACATATGGTGTCAAAGAACACACTGCTACAGGGCTCGGCACACAATACTTCTTGCAATTTGTGAGCAGACTCTAAAGCGGGTAACAACTCCCGAGAAGAAAGAGAAGTTCAGACACTATCAAGTTTCAATGGGCTCTTTCTCTATTTCCTTCTTTACAATGTATCCAATTCTGAAGGGCTGTGTACACCGGGAGACAGGGGTACAATAGGGGGCAGCCACAACACAAAAACCCACCCCTTCTTGAAAAGGATGGATCCTTTTCTTATATTTTCTTACAAGTTGGTCAACAATCGTCTTCTTTTGCAGAGGGGATTAGTCTGTGTGCTGAGACTCTGTTTTGACACTTTTGACAAAAGTCAGAATAACTTGAGACAAGCCTACAGGCTGTAAAATTTGTGTTGCTTTGAAGTGGTAGCCTGGATTTACAGCCATCTTTCTTTCTCTATCTCTCTTTCCCTTCCTCCCCCTCTTTCTCTCTGTTGATGTAATTATGGTCTGTAAAACAGGGGGAAATATTTTTAAAATTTGGGGGGTTATACTTTTCTAGCTTGCTTGCATGAAAATAACACTCTTTAAGTTGGTTTGCATTGAACTCTTTCA